GCACGGCTGGCCCCACTGGAGCGGGGGCCGGCCGGGGACAACCAAACCTCGGCCCCTTGGACGGCCGGGTTTTTCTCTCTCTGATCGATAATGATCCTTCCGCAGGTTCACCTACGGAAACCTTACGACAGTTTTACTTCCTCTGAATGTTTAACGCGTACGGACGAATAATTACGAACGCCTTGACCAATGCTAGAGGAATTTTCGAGGAATTTTCGCAGGGGGGTAGAGGGGGGGGGGGGGGGGTGGTCCCAGCAAAACAATTTTGAATGTATCACCAAATTCACATCACCAAGGCCAACTCGTGGGACTGAAAACAAGAAATAAAAAATATAAAATAAAAAAATTAACAACCTCTTTTTTTGGGGGGGGGGGAGGGTGGGGGTGCTCAAGCCCCCCGAGGCCCTCCCACTGGGTGCGCCACTGCGAGCCAGGCGGGGACGCACGAAGCGTGATATTCAGCTGATGGCTCGTCTGTTTATCAGTGGCATTTTGACATTTTGCAAAACTTCCGATGATGAATATAAACGACCGCCAAAAGCGTGGATCACAACAGGCGACAGGGGCGGATCGATGAATTTTCGCAGGGGGGGGGGGGGGGGGGGGGGTCCCCAGCAAAACAATTTTAAATGTAGACCGTTTTTTTCCCGGACACTTGGCCTCCTTAAAACTATAAGGGTGGGTGGGGGGGGGGGGGGCTTGTACCATATTTTTAATGGGGGCGCAGTTCAAACCCGACGATTATTAACAATATACATGTACATGTATGACAGAATAATGTTCATACCACCGAAACAAGCTGGTTATGACGTATTTTGTGCAAGGCGGACATTATTACTGCGATACAAAATTGTGGTGTCGGAGCAAAGGGGGGGGGGGTCGCATTTTTTTCATGAATTTCTATGAAATGTTTTTTTTTTACAGAGCGGGGGGGGGGGGGTTGACCCCCTCTCTAGATCCGCGCATTGACTGGTAATTTGTTGTTCTTCCATTCCTTATTTTTTAGCGCCTAAATACTCACCTCAGGGCAGTGGCATAAAGGGGGTGTGTGTTGCAGAGTGGCAAATTGCAACCGGCTTCAGCTATTAAGAGCAAGCCAGCAGTGGCGCAACCAGGATTTCGGGTTATTTTTTGGGGGGGGGGGGGGGGCTCAAACAAATTTTTTTTAAAACAAATTTGTTAAAAGTTGAATTTTTTTTCAAAAAATTACGCTTACAATTTTGGCTGCAGGAAATTTTTTTTTTGTTGGGGGGGGGGGGGGGCTATTTTGACGTTGGTGGCGCCACTTACACCCTATTATACTACTCGAAAACAGGCCACATTCATATCACCAAGGCCAACTCGTGGGACAAAGCAAAAAAAATTTTTTTAAAATTGACAACCTCTTTTTTCTGAGGGGGGGGGGGGGTGGGGGGAGGCCTAAGCCCCCCGAGGTCCCCCCACTGGGTGCGCCACTGCGAGCCAGGCGGAGACGCGCGAAGCGTGATATTCAGCGTGATATTCAGCTGATGGCATGTCTGTTTATCAGTGGCATTTTGACATTTTGCAAAACTTCCGATGATGAATATGAACGACCCGCCAAAAGCGTGGATCACAACAGTCGACAGGGGCGGATCGATGAATGTAGACCGTTTTTTCCGGACACTTGGCCTCCTTAAAACTATAAGGGAGGGGGGGGGGCGGGGCTTGTCCCATATTTTCAATGGGGGCGCTGTTCAAATCCGACGATTAATAACAACATATCACAGGATAATGTACCACCGAAACAAGCTGATTCTGTTCGTATTTCGTGCAAGGCGGACATTATTACTTCCAAAATTTTACTATATTTTCAATGGGGGCGCTGTTCAAATCCGACGATTATTAACAATATATCACAAGATAATGTACATTCCACCGAACTAAGCTGGCTCTGTACGTATTTTGTGCAAGTCGGACATTATTGCTTCGGCACAAAATTGGGGTGTCGGAGCAGGGAAGGGGGAGGGGGGTTCGCATTTTTTTTCATGAATTTCCATGGAATTTTTTTCAGAGCTGGATTTTTTTTGTCCCCCTTTCTCTAGATCTGTGCCTTGATTGATGAATTTTTATCTTCCATTTCCGTTATTCTTCAGCGCCTATTTTACTCACCTCAGGGTAATGGCATAACGGGTGTGTGTGTTGCAGAGTGGCAAATTGCAACCGGCTACAGCTATTAAGGAAGGGCGCACCCAGGATTTCGGGTTTTTTTATGGGGGGGGGGTGGCTCAAACAATTTTTTTTTCTGACAAAGTTGTTAAAGGTTGAATTTTTTTCAAAAAAAAGATTTGCCCAAATTTTTTGGCCGCAGAGAAAAATTTGGTTTTTTTTTTTTAGGGGCGGCCTATTCTGACGTTGGTGGCGCCACTTGCACCCCTATTATACTCAACTACTACTCGAAAACAGGCCACATTCATATCACCAAGGCCAACTCGTGGGACTAAAAAAAAAAATTCAAAAAAGAATAAAAAAAATTGACAACCTCTCTTTTTCTTGGGGGGTGGGGGGGTGGGTCGGTTCAAGCCCCCCGTGGTCCCCCACTGGGTGCGCCACTGCGAGCCAGGCGGGGATATTCAGCATGATATACAGATTGTGTTCAATGTGAAGCCGTATTAGGATGCACAAACAACGTGTTATCTTCTTCAATTCTTTTAAACCCGTCATTTGGACGAAAATTTTTGAAAATAAAACTCAAGAAATCAGCCCCCAAACGACATATCAAGCACATTTGAAACTATGAAGAAATTCAGACAATCCTGGCCAAATTTCACTGCCCCCCCCCGGCCCCCGTCGAATGTTGTCTCTCATTGCGCGGTGTGTGCTCCATCAGCTGGAGAGAACAACATTGACCAGGGGGGCGGGGAAGTGGCTGACTCGGTACATGCATAGAGCAACTCATCATAAACATTCGCAAGAAATTTCATGACTATAGGTCAAAGGGTTTTGGAATTATGGCTAGTTAATTATTCATATGTACGAATAGTATAAGTCTGCTCTATTGTGCACGACGTATATGGGAAAATTCAGTTTTCACGGCGCCTAGTGCCAGAATGTTTATTTTTCAAGGCTATCGCGGAAAAAGTCGAGGGGGGGGGCGGATTCCGACCCCGGCCCTTTTAGGGTTAATTGACTGAAAAGGGAGTCTCAGAGAAAAAGTAAAACAATACGTAACTTGTTAAAGCCCTGTTAAAGATTAGATAATATTTCACATGATTATTCATGTTCCCGCGACATCTGCTTCGGATTACTTTTTTTCTCGCATAAGGCTTAAATGGTTTATCGCCCCCATAACGCCGGGCCTTGCCTGTTGTTTCCAGGCCTACATCTTCACAAAACATAAGAGCTGTAAAATTGTGAAGCTACAGTATCTTAGGAAACATTATAAACCAGATTTAATTAAACAATTCGTTGATTCATTATAATTGTTTTAAAAACACAACAGAAAGAACAAGAATCAAGTATCTGCGCACAAGAGATGGGAAGTGTACAAAAAAGTATGAAATGAAAAGGACAAAGGACGAAAACAAAGCACCTAATTAGAGACCGTGTGAATCAATTAGTTCCGTAACAGAAAAAGGCCACAATTTTTTTTTAAAGAAACTTTAGTCGAATGAGATGAATTGAACTAGTGGAGGTCGTAAACCTGATTGCACCGTACAAATTAAGCTATAAGCCTTAAGGTTTCAGGCCAGCTTGTTTAAAAATTGCCTCCCCTGATAATATGACTATTATTATACAAGTCACTTTCTCTCTTAAAAGAGGGTTTTGTGCCACAGGTTGAGGTGTTAGGCCTAAACTTGTTTATGGGGTCTAGCAGTGATTGGGACTTTCAGCTTGAAATACGGCTGAAATTTAACCCGAAACTGCTTTATTTTCCGAAGGAGTGCATGGAGGATCATTTTTCAAAACGACGATGGGTGCCAAGGGTATTCGTCTTTGGACAGACAAAATCATCAAAAGGTTACTTTATTTACTACTAAAAAAATCGAATAGGAAATAGAAGATGTTAAAACAAGGTTAATGGGATGTGTGCGTTTTGATTACTGTTGTGCTTATTTTCTGCATTAATATTGTACGTGGCGCACACTTTCAATGTGATGACGACATAAGTTGAGTATTTAAGAGCCCATGCAATATACTTTTGTTTAATGCAATCTTTGAAAATGCACCTTGGTGTCCCATTTATTTAACCGTATTGTCAATTTTTGTTTTGCCTTTTTTAAGAGTATTTTGGTGCCATTTTAGTTTTCATGCTAATTTGAATTTCCATATTCATGAACAAAATATGTGATTTCATTTCAGGCAGAAACCTCAAAGTTACAGTTATTTCAGCACCAAAAGTTGCTGGATATTTTGCTGTCGTAACTTCTTTTCTTTGGTGATTCGTTGTTGTGTCAGTGCAGGACAGTAAAAACAATGAGCAAACTGTTCTCACAGATGTTTTCAATGAGCAAATTTATGGGTTTACAAATTGAACAGAAAACCCCTAAAACGAACAGCGCTTTATGAAATGACATCACAGCAACATCACTGTAAAAGCATGAGGAATTTTTTTTAATGTTTAAAAAAGTGCACTTTTGAATAAAATTAACCAAAAAGGGATGTCAAATAGATTTATATACATTTAAGAGAAGTAGAAAGTCGCGCATTCATTCAAGCACCTTTGAAGATATTGTAATCCAAATTTCATGTGAACTGATATTTAAGAATCAGTTAAGACAAGATTCTACCCTGATGCTCGCTCCCACAGGCTTTTCGAAAAGAGGATTAAAATGTATATCTGAACAAGAATCTGAATCGTTTAAACCCTGCATTTCAATTGTTTCAGAGTTAAGATACTTGCGATTTTTAATCAGATTAAAGACAATGCATCATTAAAATAGACAAGATACCATGCAGGTTTTTAATTAAACCCGTTAATGCGATTAAGGAAAGAGTAAGTTTTTTTTAATACGACTGACGCAACGATAGTTATCGCGGTCTAGAAATGTTATAAATACGGGGACAATTTTCGGTTGAAGTCATTCTTGTTTTTGGACCTCGTCGAGACAGAGGCTGAACAACAAAGGTGAGTGTCCGATTCTTTGATTCTTTCAACAGTTCCGCCTGTTTTTCAAAGGTGACTCATGCTCTCCGATATCATATAGTTGTGCCGGGGAGATGACACACAAATTCTTCGTGGCACATTCAGTAAAACGAACTATTTTTTTTTTACAGCTTCCCAAAAGCCAGAGAAGGTTTGAGAGATATTTAAATTCAAACTGTGACCATTAGCTTTTGCTGTCAAGCGGTACAAAATATTATAGAAACTTGCCGTTGAATATTTAAATAATATCAATAATTGTATCGAATGATTATCATTTCGCAGCAACCATGCGTGGACTGACTCTGTGTACCCTGGCCGTTCTGGTCGTCGTAGCTAGCGGAGCATTCGCCCCACTCCGCCAGGCCAAGGAGAGAATCGCCGGCCGCTACATCGTCGGCTTGAAGGTCATTTTCATATATTTATTAAACCCCAATCTTCGGGATTACTTTACTTCATATACCATTTGTAGCTTTAGATTTAGCCTGGGTGCTGTGAGAATGTTTAATCTTTGAGGCCTTAGGCTTCGTAAAATTGAAAATTTGTGTCTCTTTGTTGTGAAGATTTTGTAAGGACATGCATTGCAGAGATTGCCTGGTTTTTATCTTTTGCGTTTGGACTTAATTGTGTCACTAATTTTAAAACTATAAATCGGTGATAGCCTCAATCTTGCGTTTGTCGGAAGTGAGGCAGGTATTGCAATCACACTAAACAGATAAAAATCACGACACGTTGCGTAATTTTTAAACTGGCATAGGTTTAATTTGTCACAAGTTTTGATTAATATTAAAATTCCGAGCGTGGTAAATATCACTTACCTAGAAGTGAACATTTTGACAATAATTTATGAAAATTATTGTACAGGATGATGTTGATGTCGATATGATTGCTGAGAGACTTCAGGGCGTCTTCCGCTCCGGCAAGTTCCAGGCCCGCATCTTCAAGCGCATCAGGAACGTCATGAAGGCTCTGACCGTTCAGCTGAACGAGAAGGCTCTGGAAATGGTAAGTTCAACTTGGGAGAAATTACTACCCCCCCCCCCCCATTCTGTGTCCCTTCCTCCGTTTGATGTATAGCTTGCACACCCGTAAATAAGTCCAAGATTGCATACGGCAACCAACTCACTATATTTCGACAGCCCCAGTTTCTTTCAAAATCGAGATTTTTGTGGCCCTTGCACGTAAGGGTTTGTAGCAAGTAAGATCCCAAGGTCTGATCCGGACTTGGCCCTTAAATTTCTTAGAAAATGTGGATGAAATTGGACCGGAAAATCACCCTATTTTGCAATGGAGCGGATAGATCATTTTCAAAATGGCGATGGACTTCAAGACTGCTTTTTAGGGGTGATATTCTTTGGAGAAGGGTTTACAAAATACATTTCCTCGGGTTTTTCTTCAAAAGGTTCGCGGCTTGGACTTTGTTGAATTTGTGGAGGAAGACGGTATCGTCAGGACCCAGGCTCTCGGCTCATGGGGTCTGGACCGTGTCAACCAGAGGGATCTGCCCCTTGATGACAGCTACACTCCATCTGGTAAGATCATATCTGTTTGTGCTGACGTCAATCATAACAACAATAATACTCACAAAATGTTGCTATAGCCTAAACATCGGTGCTCGTTGTGATTTCATTGGAAATTTTCATTACGTATTTTTAGAGAATAAGAAATGTGACTGAAATGAAATTGTAAATAAAATGCATTCCCCGTGCTATTTTTGAGTTTCACCTTGAATTCTTTTGGGTCTAAACTGCTATTTTCCTACGAATAAAGTTAATCATTTTGAATGTGAGACATCGAACCAAAAAATCCACCGATGTTTAGTTATTGAATTATTTCTTCACAAAATTTGAATTATTGGCTGCCAGACAATAATTAGCTCTGGCAGTTTGGGTTCATTTTTGTGCGCGAAATGGAAGCCATTGTTTCAGAGGGTTGAAGACGCCCGATATCGAAATAGAATATTTTTATATTTGTGAGAACAAAACATACAAATTTAAAATTCGTCATGAGAAGAAAAAAAAAATCATTTTTAAGAGCACGGGGTATGCAACCCCAAAAAGAGCTTATGCCATAACCGTCACTTTTTTTTGTAAACAGAGCAACGAAACAAACAGTTTTTCATCTTACTGAAACTTTAAAGTAAGCCTGCCCACTACCAGGACAGACCCATGTTATGCAATGTCATATGAAACGCCCGCATTCAAAATGTGCATAAGAAAACCAAGCTTTGACCATTGAGTATCCCCTAAGGAAAGTTGGATCCTAGTTAAATCATATTGGTAATCGTATGAAATAAAAACAAAAAAAATCACTTCCAAAACGGACACAAAGACTTAATAGTTATAAAAAAATTGTCTTTCCCCCTATCAGCTGATGGCAGCGGTGTCAGCGTGTACATCGTTGATACCGGAGTTGTCCCAACCCACGTTGACTTCAACGGCCGTGCTACTGCCGCTTATGACGCCATTGGTGGAGATGTGAGTACTATGCAAATGATAACTCACTGCCTTTGAAGTTGCCGCCTTGAAGAAAGACACCTTTCAATTCACCGCCCACTACAAGAATTGCTCATGCGCAGTGTGTTGACACGAGAGGTTGCAAAACAACCTCGGTCCTGTGGTGCCGAGCAGTATGCTCCTACTACTTACTCTTTACTGTTAAAAACGAAGATGAAATAAAGTAAGCGCTGGGGACAGGGTTGGTTGTGTAATAACACGTCTAATAACCTATAGGATAATATAATTGTATAATAACCATGGTTATTATGGTTGTATAATAACCTATAGGATGGTCTATCGGAATCATTGTAAGAAGGCACTTTTGGAGGGAAATCAAATAAAAACCCAGACAAGTTTGCCACTTGTGCCCATTTCCAACACAGTTGCGCTGTTGATTTAATGTGAAAATTATGGGAAACATGCGCCAATTAAGGTCCCAATCTTGAAACCTCAAGTTGCAACACTTGCTGTATTATATGACCTATGGCATATAAGACCGATATCCAACGATAGAACTTGAAACAAAAACACAATACCAACCAGAGCTCAGAGAATTTCACGCGAGTCGTCACAAGTAAATCGCAATTCAATCACAAGCCATCCGGCAGTCAAGTAAAAGAAACCTATTCAACTAAATTATGAAATCCGCTTTTCCTTGTGACCTGACTTGTGCCCTGACTTGTGGGTAACTCGATTTTCAAGTCTGCATCTTGTGTAGTACCTTAATTAATCATCGTCTTGATTTGACCAGGGTATTGACTGCAACGGTCACGGAACCCACTGCGCCGGTACCGTCGGCAGTGACACTTACGGTATTGCCAAGAACGCCGACCTCTACGGTGTGCGTGTGCTCAGCTGTCTGGGATCCGGCTCTTTCTCCGGCATCATCGACGGTAAGCTATCATAACCTAGCTCGTTTATCAGGGGAAATTACCAAACTAATCTTATACCTGGCGGACTTTTGGGCGGGAATACAATTTCCAATGTAACAAAACACTCAGTGTCTTGCTATTTGTTGGCACACTATGGGATGAGGGTCCAAAGTCACAAAGTCAAAACGGGAATAGTCCAAACAATTTTTTTTCAGTTGTTGATCCTTTTGACGAACATGCAGACTTTTGTGATGGTTAGCCTTACAATTTAGACTATTCCTGTGTAAAAGAGGCGAAAACTCTCATATCTATTACGAAATTTTCCCATTTGTCGAAATCCACTTAAGATTGACGTTCTTGATCCCCCCAGGTATGGACTGGGTGGCCACTAACGCTCGATTCCCCGCCGTGGCTTCCATGTCTCTCGGTGGTGGTGCCTCCCTCTCCGTCGATCTGGCCGTCAGGAACCTCGTCACTGCCGGTGTCACCGTCTCGGTCGCCTCCGGTAACAGCAACGACGACGCTTGCGATTACTCCCCAGCCAGAGCTCGTGATGTAAGTACTTCACTTTAGTTCGAGCAATGTCTCAATCTCTCTGATATATGGTCAGAAAACAACCAGCACATCGTCGTCCTTTTTTGGCGTCCACACCAAACTTGTTTTTCTTCTTTGGTTGACTGAATTTTCCAGGCCATCTCTGTTGGTGCCACCGACATCAGTGACAGCAGGGCTTCCTTCTCCAACTACGGCGCCTGTGTTGACATCTTCGCCCCCGGTGTGGACATCACCAGTACCTGGACTGGCCGCTCCAACACTGCCACTAGCACCATCAGCGGTACCTCCATGGCTTGCCCCCACGTCTCTGGTAAGACAGCCTTTGTTCTTTACGGCCACATTAGGGTCTTGCTCCTCGAATCTTATTTGTGGTTTAGTTAGGCGCGATCGGTGGATCTGCGCTATCACGAGACCATCGCGCAGAAATGCACTTGCGCGATAGGTCGATCCTGTAGGAAATCTCACACTTCATTTCTCTTTTTCAAAACAATCCTCCAGAGCCATGAATAAGAGAGAAAAGTTGATCGACTAATGTTGGCGCGATCGACCGAGGGCGACACGATCGCCCGATAGCACAGCGCGATCGACCGATCGGGCAGATCCACCGATCGGGCCCAACAGGTTCATTCATTAAAAAAAGGTTCCACAGTGCTCTTGTTACTTTGTTGACGCTTTTAGGCACAACATTGGACCTTTTTATCCACATTTATTTAAGAATTACATAATGGTCAGCCTACTATGCTTCGTGGTGCAGCACCTCGCTCGCGCACTTCGTCCTTTTTATGTACTGCCATTTCTTCCCAAGTCACTTTTGTCTTCAATCTCAGCTCTCAGTCATTCGTTTTTCATTTATATTCGTCATTATTGATCTGGAACCCCTTACCCGAGTGAAGATAATCAGTTGTGGGATAGTTGAGGCAATCCCTGTGCTCCAGACCCTATCTACGAGGGTTGGTTGGGAAGAATGGACGTAGTGATTAATATAATATGGATATCTTTATAAGCACATAGAAGTAAAACATTGCAGGCATGAGAAGGCCTAATACTTATGGTAGTTTACACAAAACTTCGTTACAGATACAATGTACCAACACTTGTCCACATCAAAGACAAGAACAAGGCCGGATTATTTTGAGCAATGATACTCTCAGATTCATCGATCCATTTAGGAAACCACAGTCTCGATACAGTTAGGCCTAAGCCAACCATAACACGTTTCTTATTATTCAAAATGTTCTCATGATTATTCATATCTACAGGTGTTGCTGCCCTTCTCCTGGGCCAGAACCCCAGCTTGACTCCTGATGAGGTTATGGCTCAGCTCCTGGCTGACGCCACCTCCGGCCGAGTCTCCAACAAGGGAGTCCTGTCCCCCAACCTCCTGCTGTACACCAACCTGTAAACGAACACGTTCCGGTTTCATCGGGCCTGGAAACTACATGGTACGCACAACAGTTGAAGTCATTGAGCAAGTTCGATTAGGGAGCGCTGGTTGACTAGTGTACGAGCTGTGACACAACTTACGCTTGCGCATTATAATAGCAAAGAAACCACCCCTGCCAAACGTTGACCAAAACGTCATCACGAAACTTCCTGGTCCTGGTTCCTTGCTGCGCATTATGATGCGCACGGCTATTGGTAACCAGCGATTAGTAGACCTTTAGGCCCTACTGTGCCTAATCGAACGTGCTCAATGTTGATAAGTTTAACTCTCAACTGACATATTCTAAAGAATGGCCAAAAACCCCAGTGATGCCTAATATTCATTACAAAAACGAAAACTGGAGTTCATGGGAGCCAAATTAAGGGCGTGGATGTTTGTCTTAAGAAGAGGTTACTAAAGTGTGATGAAGAAATCATTCGCTTTTATCCAACATCCTTGCAAACAGGGTGCTCTTTCAGGTTAAAGCGCCCTCAAGAGAAAATTTCTACGTTTCAATTTCTGCCCAAAGCCACAATCACGGTCGTGTCCGAAACCAGCGCAACTTTTTCTTTTAATGCCAATGATAATTATGGTTTCGTGAAATGTCAAAAACCACATCTAAAGCAGCCAAACAATGCTTCACGTTAATTTCATTTCTTTTTCATTTTATTCCATGCAGGATTTGATGTTCTTCGCGGCATCAGAAACTCATCGGCGACCATCAAGTCTATGGATCTTAGGGCTCCGTTAATTAATTATTTAAGATATGAATTAGTAATCAATTTGTTGATCAGAGACTGAATGAACCGGTCATTGTGCCCCAAATATTTCCCAGGAAAATCCATGGCTTCCAGGAAAATCTAACTTTTGGCTTTTCAAGGTGAAATGTAAAACATTCCAGTGTTTGTAAGTTACAAGCAATATATTTTGATTGATATTCAAATTTTGAAATAAATAATGTGAAACAAAGGAGTTTTACTGTATGTTGTCCTTACTGGCTTTGAAAGTTGTCTGGAACATAGTGCCATCATTTGACATTATTGTGTGGGATTGTCTATCGGATTTTGCCCTGCTTCCGACCATTTCGTCGCGATTTTTTTCATACTGGCGAACAGGTTGCACCGCGCCTTTTCCATACCGGCGAATGATGTGTACAATATCATTGTATAGATGTTCGCCGGTATGGAAAAGGCGCGGTGCAACCTGTTCGCCAGTTGCCAAAAACGCGACGAATTGACGTTTGTTGTGCTTCCACCATTTCAGTCATGTTCTCTGTATCCAATAACAGTACTGAATAATAATGTTTTTGTGCAAAAAGGAACCAGACTATTTTTCCTTGCAGCCTCTCTTTGGTTACATTGATCTGAATGGGAAAAAAATCAAATGGCTGCAACATGATAATGGTCTATAAGTTGTCTTGTCCATTTTTTTCCCCCGGACGTCTCGAGGACTCAAGTCATTGGCCCGCGTATTTCGTAAATCGACCTTGACAGTTTTTGTTGGTTTCAGCGTGCCAGCCTATACACTGTATATCTCTTCGTATCTGACTGATTGACTGACTGACTGATTGACTGACTCCCCGCAGCTTCGGAATTAGACTTGCTTAAGTCTCAAGAAGGTTTGTGATAGAACTATCCCGTAACATCAGTAAATGGTCATGCACTGCGGAGACCTGAAGTGCCTCTTGCTGTCTTCCTGAACACCCAAAACCAACGATCAGAGCCCCAGCAGGCCTGCGTCGTACCTACCTCTCACAGATCATGGACGACCTTAACGCCATCGGCCTTAAACACGATCAGGCTGTTCGTGCTGCCCAGGATTGGGCTGGATGGCTGAGACGAATCTCAAGCATTGGGAAAACCACTGGTCACAACGTCTCGAGCCGAGTACGGCTAGAGTAGCGTCAACTATGGAGTGAATGGGCTGACGCCTATGCATGAAACCCCCCCCCCCCAGTAAATAGTCAATCTGAATCGATTGAATACAAATTTTGTGTGCTCTTGGACCAGCTCTACTAGGCCTGTCTTTTCTTGTTTCTCGACTCCAGATTGCAAATTGTTCAAATGTGTATCTTTTGATCACTCTCCCAACCTATAACCAATAAGCTGACCAACCAACCAACCCACCCATCTCGATTATTGTATCGAAGTGCATTTCTTTTTGGAGGGGGTGATGGTGTAGGTCCTCTTGTTAGCCCTTCAAATCTAATGCGTACTCCAATATTTCAGAAATTTCACCACCCGGTGAAAGTTGATCATAACATTTGAAAACAGTGAACGAAAACAAGAGCACTGTTGTGGCTCGTGAAAAAAAATAAGCATTATGCGTGCACAAGGTCGCATTGTCGTAATTCTGCGGTGTGGCTTCATGCGGATATTTTTTTAGAAAATATAGTTTAGTTTATTTGCTATAGTGGAGCCGTATTTTAATGACTTGCTATTAAGAGTGCTTTGTACACTAGCTTTATGATGCTTCCACAATTAAGAAAATGAATGCCTCGGTATTGTTTTAATGGAGTAATAAATTTAGTTCAAGGTAAACAATCCAAAACAAAATGACGATGCACTTTGGTAAATTGCCCAAATGGGTTCATAAGGCCAAAAAAAAAAGTATCCGGTTTCTGGTATGGAGCTTGCCCAAAAAGTGGTGCGGCGACGCGGCTTTTTTTTTTTTTTACCTGACTTTTTTGCTTCAAATGTCGGCTGATGACTGCAAATGGTGCCCGACTAAACTTAGTGCAAATGTATGGGAGTCCAGAGAGGCCACATAAAGCTTATTCTCGACCATAACCCAATCTAAAAACACGTTAAAATTGTGCAGCAGCAGGATTCCAGTCAAACCAGTGAGTTTGGAGGTTTTGAGACATCATCTTTCATTGAAAAAAAAACGTTTTCATTTTGCCGACGCGCATGGCTACGGCTACGCGCGCGCATACCAGAAACCGGAGACTTTTTTTTTTGGCCTAATGACGCCATGCGCGACGAATGTTGAGCTAAGAGTCTAGGCGTGTTTTTTTGGAACCCCAGATTTACTCTGGCTTCGGCCTCAGAATTATTCAACGACCTAAACAAATTGAAATACTCTCGACTGTACCCCAATATTATAGGATATGCGGGATCCATTGTTGAGCCAAAATCTCCCAAAAGTAAATGGCCTAAAAGTTCCTGAAATTGACGCCACAAACGAAACCGAAGAATTTAGGAAAATAACTTGGCCTTGGCAGACAGCCACGTACGCACTAATTTGCGTTACGATCTTATCTGCGCATGTCGTAAATATCGGAAACACATTTTTTTAATGACCGATGTACTTTGGTAAATTGCCAATCAAGTTCATGACGCCATGTACGTCGAATGAACGAGTCTTATGAAAGCAGTTACAAGTACATTAACCTGTACAAAGCCTGTTCCGCTGAAAGTGGTCCCTTGTTTCGAGAAAGAGAAACGCAAGGGTGTATTAAACACTGAACCATCAGGCAAAAGGGCCTTTATCACGCTTCCACCATTTTAGTCATGTTCCCTGTATCCAATAACTGAACTGAATGATAATGTTTTTGTGCAAAAAGGAACCAGACTATTTTTCCTTCCAGCCTCGCTTTGGTTACATTGATCTGAATTGGGAAAAATCACATGGCTGCAACATGATAATTGTCTATATTCCGTTGCTATGTTTTTGAAGTCGGTGATGAGGCAGTAGGCCAGTAAGATGTATTATATGTGGCGTCACGTGATACCAAGCGATATTCTCAGTCGATTTCATTGAAAAAAAAAAAAATATGTATAGGCCTGTAAATGCATTCAATTAAATACTTCTACCAATGGCAATAGTTCGTACTGTTTTGGTAACAAGTACGTGTACTCTGTTGGTACTTTATTATACACAAATTGCCAAATAGGTAGGTGCGGGACATCCAGGAGCTTGTTGCAATTGCGTCGTCTAGTTCCCAGACCTATTTACATAATACTCAATGGTCCTTGCGTCTGGAGTGTTGGATGGTAACTTATTGCAACTGGTGAAAATGAGTGTGCCAATGAATATTCACCAGTCGACGTCATCCCGCACATACCTATAAAAAAATATCCACGTCAGTGTTCAGCTATGCAGTGCGTGCAAAGTTTCGTAGATACATGTACTACGGAATAAGACACAGAAGACTGCCATTATTGGAGAAACTCCGCACAAAGCGGACCTGTTCGCGCGTGCGCTTTTCTGTATGGGTTGACAGTTTTTGGTAACCGGAGAAATTCGTGGTTCGAAATACATGCACGTTCACAAAATAATTACTTTTGTTAATACAGACTGACATTGCTGTGTTCAGCGTTATTGCCCGCCGAAATATTGCAGATGCACTTCAGCAAGACAGGGAGGACTGCGCTCTAAAACCACGCACAATTCGAACTTTCTTGGTTCTTAATATTGGAACTCTCTCTTGTCCAGAAGATGTACATTGCCGCAGCTCTAAGCATCTGCTCGGCCGTTGTCCTAGCGACGTGGGCGTCGGAGACCTGCCACTCGGAAGCTGGATGTTGCCCACGAGGCTGGGAGCCCTGGGGAGGTTCGTGTTATCTCATCATAAAGTCGGGTAACTGGGACGATGCCTGGTCCGCTTGCCTCGCCATGGGCGGCGTCATGGCCGCTCCACGCTCACAGGAAGAAAATAACTTCGTGGCGGACAAGGCACACGGAATGACTGGCATCCACTGGTTGTGGGTTGCCTGTACGAATACGAGAGGCACATGGAGATGTGGAGGGCAAGATATGGGAGGATTCGTCAATTGGCGACCAGGTCAACCCAGTGGTGGTGTCCGTGAACAACACTGTGCTGCTTTGACTTCCTGGGCCTACGACAACTACGGGAAGTGGCATGGCGTACGGTGTAATAATATGTACAGGCGGACCGCTGCTGCGTGCGTTCGTCGCCCAAGCCAACCCCGTCAGTTCTGCCTCTTCACCGGCCGTGACGGACGGCCCGTCGAATCTCGGTGCCTGCACGGTCACGTCGTCCGGGAGTACCCCCTTGCCAGCGCCACCGTCGGCCTCTGCGGCAGGGCCTGCTACAACGACCCACGGTGTTTCTCCTTCAACATCAAAAAGTACCACAACGGGGAGACGATCTGTCAGTTGAACAATGCCACTAGTTCTGATGACCCGGTCAAGTTCCAAGACTCGGGCAGTGCCTGCACCTACTTTGAAATCTAGTCCGTCAATTAAGTCTAGAAATCTAGGCTGCTTTTTTGCAAGATGAGGACTCAACGTCTATGCTATTGTGTACTTTTTTGACATTCAGAAAAACTTTTTTTTTTACCAGATGGACAAATTTAAAGGGAATGTACAACATTTGCTTTTGCTGCAATTTTCATAAATAAATGGATTTGGAGGATTAGAATGTTATAGAAAATATTGTTACACTGACTTGTTTCACGTTTTGGGTTCGTAGATGCTGGAAAAACCAAGAAAACCAATCATATTATTGTAGTCTGGTTCCCTGACCCCACTTAAGATAAAACGGACAAATTTATAGACTTTGGGGAATTGTAAGATCAGAGAATCAGTCTAGCAGGGTTTTAGTCTTCACAGGTGTGTAATCAATTGCAAAGAAAATGCAGACGAACTAAATATAAAAAAGTAGGAGCACTTAAAAAAAAAAAAGGCCAGTTTTCTCCAACGCTGGTCGGCCGACCAGCGTTGGAAAAATACAGTTTTTCTTGAAAACGTCAGCACACCAGGAGCCACAACTTTACAGGATGCTTTAGACTGTCATTCCCTAACAATCCAGTAAGATATTTCGTGATAATTTGATCATTTCGTTTTTTGATGTTTGCAAATGTTGTATCTTCCCTTTAAGGCAGGCATAATAAAGGTAATCTCTTGAAATATATTATTTCAATATCACTGGCATTAGCCAGAATTTGAAGAAAAAAAATTGTTTGGAAGCCCCTTGGCATTTTTGGCAAGAACCAAGCTTATCTCAAAATCTGAAAATGGGCATTCAGCAGATAACGCAAAAACTCAGTCACAAATTTGTTTTGGATTTAGGTTATGTATTTATAATAATTTATTTATCAAACTTATTTTTAAAGTCTGAAGCCTGATGTTGACGTACAAAAACGTTTCAAGCCTGGAGCGGCCCGGTCTTGGCATGGGCCGTATACCAAATAAAATGGGGCTCCTTTACAAACACAAACCCAACCAAGAAAAGCCTGAAGAACGTGCACTGCATGCAACGCATGAACACCCGATAATATTTTTAATGCCATCTTATATATGTGCCTAGATTGCCCCCGTACACGTTGCCCCTAAACGTTATCTTCTTGCTTTGCTCACCTTGAACAACAAATTGCCTATAATAATGCTTTAATTTTTTTTAACTTGGCTGAAGTACAAGTTCAAATTGTATTGGATTTAATAACTAACGTGCATTTTGTGTCTTAATGAAAAACCAATGTAGCACATTGTTTCAGAAGCTAAACCGAAGCAAGGAACTGAAAACGTTTAGACATCAACTACATGTGTGGAAAGTAAACATCCTAGAAAACGTTTTCATTGTACAAAATATCTGGAAATTTTGCAACTGTTGTTGACATTGTTTGACAGGGGTTCCAATTTTGGATTACGAACAAGATGGACTGATTGAAAGTAAACAAACAAAAACATTGTTTTAATCATAATTTCATAGCCTGGTATAATATTAGCCGTGTGGACGTTTGAGCCGCAACACTAATTCCTGTTATCAGAAACGATTATCAACAAGAAGTGTGACCCGACTGTAAATAGCAAGATATCAAAGGGTCCATGTAAGGAAATTTTGTAGGAAACACATTTTGTGCAACCTTCTACTCCTCTTAAATGTATCAAAACTATATTTGACTTCCCATTTTGGTGAATTTTTAATGACGTGCATTCTTTAAACATTTAAAAATGTTCATGCTTTTCCACAACTGAGGTCATCGTTGCTGTGATGTCATTTCAGGAAGACACTGTTCAGTTTAGTGGTTTTTATTCAAAACGTGAACCCAAAATGTGCTCGTTGAAAACGTTTGTGAGAAAGGGTTGCTCATTGGCTGACGGCATCATGTTGGTTGCTCAAAAAAATAGACCAACTGGCGGAAACTCGTCAATAAATGCCTCGTTTCTAGATCCAAAAAGCGCCGTTTGGGGGGGGGGGGCTCGCATATCATATTGAGATATTTACTTACACACAACAGATCACCAAAGAAAAGAAAACTGACGACAGCAAAATATAAAAAAATCGAACATCTTTTTGGGCTGGAAATAGCTGTGACATTGACGGTTCTGCCCGGAATGAGATCACAGTGTCGCTCATGAATATGGCAGTTCGCATTAACATATAACAACCAACAAAAAATACCCTTTAAATACAAAGGTGCATTTTCAAGGATTGTTATATATAAATATACATTGCATGGGCCCTTTATATACTTAATTGAAAGAAGAATAACGTTGATGTAATTTTAAAAGGTTTCGTACATTAATTTCTGCACTTCAGGAGAGACAAGTTTGAAACGAAAGGACGGTGCACATGGCGTTGAGCATGGGCATGGAACGCGTTGTGGCTTGCACATTGCTTCGGGATAGTGAGAACTGGTAACGAACTGTAATTGCAAGACGGAGGAAGAGCAAAACTGCTTGTAAATACACTTAGATTATTAATGTTAATTGTAACATCTTAATGAGGAGTTGAATATTTGTATACTTTATGATAATTTAAACTTAATAAGTTCACGCTTACAAAACAGAGCAAATGACGACAACTGTCGGATTTCTTGACTTCTTTTACAAACTCTGGGGAAAAACTTTGTAATTTTCTTTGTTAAAGGCTGAATGAACAATGTACTATCGGGTGATGAAAATGCATGGCAATACGCAGCAAACTTTTTTTCAGAAAATGTTTGGAATCATCTTAAAAATCTTAGAAATACTAGGACAAGACTGGATATTTCAACACTGAGCGTCGAAGGTATTGTTGGGGAGAGGTTGATGAAGATTTGGGGGTGTTGTAACAATAAAATAGCTCCTGTCATTATTACTGAATGTTTGCTGGTTGAACTCAAAAGAACGATTTCACAATTCTCTCCGACCACACCAGCGCAGATTTGCCGCCCGTCTTACACCCGGTACGTCCCGCCATTCGCGCAAGGATTGTCCTCGCAATCCTGCTCCTTTTCTGTGTATACGAAAAAAAGAACTTACTTATGCCAAATAAAAAAATAAATATGTTTAGCGTTCCCGCCGGCTAAGAAGGCTAGCTAGCTTGGTTAAGAAGGCTAGCTAGCAACAGGATACACATGCACGTCAATAAATGCCTCCTTTCATGGCCGTTTTGGGGGTTTGCGGGCGCACACATTGAGGTATTTATCGCTGGCGTGCGGGACAAGAAACAACACCAGATAATAACGACCAAGATTACAGAGAACCAGGTCTAGTTCGCAGTGCTTTCAAAACGGACATCGGTAAGTTCATTTGTAATTAAGCATATAAAATGATTGACGTTGCATAAACTCCACTTAAGGCCAAATTTAAACAAATTTAGCGTCCCCGCCCGCTTCCGTTTTGGAGGCCGCTTAATTTTTTTTAAACGAAACAATGACAAATTTTAAACAGTGACGTCATTTTGGCCTCTTTGTTTATTGCATCTAGCCCATATAAAGCTGGTATGTCATTTCCTGAGTCCAAGTGACGGCCATTTAAAAAAAAAGCTGGCGGCCCTCTTGAAAAGTAGCCCGGTCGGGCGGCCATTTTGGAGGGGGAAAAAGGGCCCCCTCCTTCCTTTTTTATCAAAAAGGCAGGACGCTAAACATTTTTTTTATTTGGCCTAACTTGCTTTTGGCAAATGTTATTAAAGTACGGAAACATTTATGAACTAAGCCTGCAGGAGAACACTTGAGAGTATATAGACTACTGAAGACGAAATAGGAATCCATTTGTTTTTTCTTATTATGTCCTGGATACCCATGGGCTTTGACCTCCCCCACCCACATTTTTTAAAGTGGAGGATATCATATCGTTTGTCACCCCACTTTTTTCGTCACCGAATAACAATTGTAGCTGACATTTCATTCTTCGGCTCAGAATAGCTGATTCAATGACTCCAAACTCAAGAATGATGTTAAATGGTGATCTTTCGCTCAAAAAAAAACATGGTTAGGTCCCTGTAGTGGTCAAAAAGTGCCTTAAATCGCACCACAGAGCGTCTAGAATCCAAACATTGGCCCCGTTGCCCCCCATGGATCCGTCCTTGGGCTTTTTGCACACCGCATATATGTAGAGAGACCTTTTTTTTATCGCGAGAGGGGGCACTGTTGCTTTTGATGGCCAGCTCAGTGACCATTTAATTCGCGTGAGGAGGAGCACTATTATTTTGAGGCCAGTTTTTCATGAGAGGGGCACAATTTTAATGTTGCGAGCGAGGCACTAATAAAATTGTGCTTTCGAGGGGCAGTTTTCCAACTCGAAAAGTTATCGCGAGATGCAATATTATTTTTGAGAAGGGTATGGCGTGTCAAACGTTGCAATATTCAATATTTTGCAGTATATATGTTGGATGTTCAATATGAGTTTGTTATCTTTTACATTTATGTGCGATGTTCAATATAAGTGTGCGATGTTTTTCATTATTTGCGCGATGTTTAATATATTTGTGCGATGTTTTACAATATATGTTCGATGTTCAATATATGTGTGCGATGTTTTACATTTATATGCGATTTTCAATTTATATGTGCGATGTTTTTGACGATATATATGTGCGATGTTTTCAATATTATGTTCAATTTTTTGCATTAAATGTGCGATGTTTTTCGAAACAATTGTGTGTGTTGTTTTACAATATATTTGCGATATTCTCAAATATGTGAGCAATGTTTTACACATATGTTTGAAATTTGGAGCTATTTGTATTCGATGTTTCATCGGTATGTTTGCATTCGATCTTTTGCAATATATGCATTTGATGTTTCCCTTTTCATTCGATGTTTCGTTAAGAGTCAAAGTCTGGTTACTAGACCGCAAAAGTCTGACTATTTTGCCTAAAGTCAGTGTATGAGACGTCAGGGGATCGCGTAAAGTGATTAGAGCCAGACCTAAACGGTAAAAACCGGAATGGTGGGTAATTCTATAAGCATACGCAATGCGTTCATCATTGTTTGGGCAGTACCCCCAGGTGTGCCTGTACATCATCTATGCATTGAGGAGTGCATGACACATGGTCTGAGCATGGAGCAAGGTTAATCCCTTACATCTGAAATTTTTCGGAAACATCTGAT